GAGAAAGAAATGTTTTGCAAGCTTCATCTCAGAGTACCAGCTGCCGACAAGAAGAAGTATTAGGAGTGGGAAATGGATGCTAATCTTAAAATTTCTATGCCAAACCATTGAAGGAAGGGCATGTGAGAAGGTTGTACTCTAACTAGCATCAGCAGATACCTTATTGTATTGCATTACACAAACACCATTGTATTTGTTTGAATAAAAAAGAATGTGAATAACCCGAAGACTTGCTCAAGGTCACAGCGATTAAATTAGTCATAAAGCTAAGATTAGTCCAATCAGAAATCGAATACCTTAGGGCAAAATGGTAGGATAATTAATTACATTGTATTAGCCCATTTCCAGAAGGGATCTAGGATCAATCAAAAGTAAGCAGGTTTTTGTAACATCTCCTTAAATACAAACTTGACTGTTGAATACATTTAAATGGACATTCTGTGTATTGAAGTTTCTTTTTACAAAAAAAGTAACTAGTGAGTTAGTTTGAGAGTGCAATGGATTGGTTATAGCCGTGGGTTTTGCCACTTGTTTCTAATTCTTTAATAATGTAAAAACCATAAATAAATAATTTCAGTAATTTTATATCGGTTGTACCTCCATATAAATACTTACTCCTTTTGTGTTGATAATTTTTGGTTAATATGTTGACAGCATACGTATCAAAAGGAAATGCATCCCCATTACATCTACATCATCACTGGAACACTGTCTTTGATGCATTGTTCAGCCTTCTGCCGCTTGTCTCTGTGCTTTCTGAAGTTTTGGTCAAGGTGTGCTATACAATGCTTACTCGTGTCTCAGTCAAGGAAGTACCACGATTGCATGTCAGACATTTCTTAATTCATAATCTGCCTATATTTTGCCAGAGCTGTTTCAGAATAGCTGCCAGGGAGTTCAGACAACTCAGCTCTGTGCTTGAGATAAAGGGAGTGATGTGGATATGGTCCAGTTGGACGTTCATGTGGAAGGCTTTGTGTACTCTGGTGAAATGCTGGCAGGTGGAAGAGTAGCAGAACAAAATCCCTACTTCTGCAAAAATGGCTACTTCTGTAAAGCAACGTCATTGGTAGAGCATTACTTCTTGGTTTGACAGCCTGTGATCAGCAGCAAGTCAGGAATACAAAAACAGATATGGAAAAAATTTCACTCCCCAGGTATGATTGTACTTTCTGAGGTGTTTGTACAGTGGTTATCCTGGGATTGCTGTGGCAGGACTGCAATGAGATTTCCTCTTGATATCTTAACAGATAGACCTCAAATTCTTGAAAAATTACTTATCCTTCCTAAAACAATAAGCCTAGCCAAGTTTCTGCTTAATTTTATCTTAAAGTAATATAAATTTTCTATAAAGGCCATTTTCTTCTGCAATGTGAGTCAGAGTGAAGATAATCTTCTGTGTAGGTTCACGTTTTAACAGAAAGTATGCTGCAAAATAAATTTACCCTGTAATTAATATGAACATTAAAAGTTAGCTATGCTGATGGAATGATTAGAAATAGTCTCATAAAAGTTTAAGGGTAGGGAAACAATCAATGCGCTGACACAGTATTTTTTCTCTCTCCTTCTGTATCTGCTGCTATAACAAACACACTTGCCATGCAATCAACTCTTTTTTTAAACTTTGAATTTTCTCATTGGCTGTTGGAGCACTGGTGTTGGGGCTCCTAGATCAGGCATATAGTGAAAGCTTATGGGAACTTGTATTTCTACGCATGGACTTCAGGAACTTTTAGAAAACTATTTCTATTAAGAGTCAGCAGTGGGACCTAAATATGAAAGCACTCCTTCTAATCGCTTGTTCTGGTGATGCCACTTGCACAGTGATAGCTTTTACCTGGTTAGGATTCTACATATTTTCAGCTGTAGTGTCCCTGCAGGGAGAGGGTTAAAGTACATGCAGAATGATAAGAAGTATCATTGGTATTAAAGGCAAATGAACACCCGGTATTGGAAAGAGGAAGATGACTTCTGATTAAGGTGATGAGACGCAAGGAATGGCATGAAGTTTCACAGACAGGTCAACTCAGATGTAGAGTATTGATGTAAGCTTAAAGCAAAGATGCTAATGCTAAAGCAGAATTATATTTGTTCAAAAATGGATTGATTACTTCAGGTTGTCAAACAATTTACAGTAAATAAATTAATGCATACATATGGATGCAGAGTTATCTGTGCATTAACAGTAATATTCTTCTGCATTAAAACCCAATAAGCTGTAAGTAGCTGAGCATGAACTAAAACAGGCTATGATGTCTACCTCAAAGACTGATTGTTTCTGAAAGGCATATAAAGCAGCTGGTAGACAGGATCATTACCTTTCTGTCAATAAGGAAACAGAGATGGTATAGTTTAAGACACTTTCTAATGCTAGCACAAGTACAAATGCTTGTGAATTGTGAAGATAAGGACGTGTACTCACCTCTCAGATCAGCACAGCCATGCGTGCAAATTCTGTAAGAGTGGTCTCAATGCTCAAAGGCATGTTGCTTTCCCTTATTCTCCAGTTTGGGATGTCACAGCAAGCCACAGCTTCCCATAGTGCAGAAGAAGGGACAATGAGAAGTTGTTGGTCACTCTGAGAAGAAAAGACTGGAGAAGGAAAATATTCCTGTTTTAACTTTATATCCCAAGAAGGAATCATGCTCACTGTACAGGCAGGCCAGGGTGGGAGCAGTGAAAATCAGTCACTAAAATTTAGTGGTGTTTGGCTAAGAGTAGCTCTTCAAGGAGTTAGACTATCCATGTCACCCAAAGAAAGGTGCATCTCTCACCTGCATAGGAGAAAAACACCAGTGTGTTGAACTGAGGGATGGTGCATCTTTAGGTGAGGGATGATTACATTTCATAGTCCCAACAAATGAATGAGGCTGGCTCCAGATCTAGAAGTTTTGTGGCAAAGAAACCTGAATGGAGAATATACAAGTTTCCAACTTACACCTGTGAGCATACACATCCAATTTAATCTAAAAAGGGGTCAGGTCTGCTGTGTACGTGGGGTTGGTGTTACAATTTGCGAATACTGTATATGAATGAAGTCATTGAGAGTCTTTTTCTGGGGCAATAGTAGTTCCAGACAGAAGACTATCTAGAAAAACAGGAGGAGGAAAAGAAAAGCTCAAAATAAAGTCCTTTGAGAATCTCCTAAGTATTTTTAGAAAACATTTTTGAATTAACAGGTGGAAGATGTCTCTGAGGTGTCATAAGAAGTTAGACCTGCTAAAGTAACCATCAGGGAAAGGTCTGTGTAAACGGTGTTTCTTCTTTTTTCTCTAAATGGTTTGTTCTAACTGGTTATTACTGGCTTTGTTTTTATTTTCAAAGAAGGAAAATCAATTCTATATTCCTCTAGTGAGAGACTCTGAAAAGAGAAAAGGGCAACTACTTAAGTTCAGTCGTGAGTGTTGAGTGAATGGTACCCTATGTATGGGTGAGAGAAATGCGAATCTCTGTTCTCAATAGGAAAAGCAGAAAGTCTAAAACCTTTTGAGATGTATTGAGGGAAAACAGGAAGATGTTTTGGTTGAGGCTAGGCTGTACTTGAGATAAAAGTAGCAAATAAAAGAAAACAACAGCGGAAGACCACAACGTTATGACAAAAGGGTGTTTCTAGTTGACTAGAGCAGCCAAAAGGGCTAAGTGAAGAGTTTCCTTAGTGTTTTACAACATATAAAATTTCTACTTGTAATTTGAGCAATGAGCGTAAGGAACACTCTGAACAATCAAGAGGATTAGAGATTTCTAAACGTGGCACTGAGAAACTTTCGATAAGAAAATACACAGCCTGGCCTGGGAGCTTTAAGAAGAAAAACCTGTCAGTGCTATGAAGCAGTCGTGTTAAAAGACCTGTTGAAATAAGTGTATTTTACCTCAAGGATCCTGTGCTTTGTCTACTGAACAGAGTTACGGAAACACCTTCTCAAAGGAATTTTTCAGAATAAAATACAATGTATGTGGAAATCTTGTATTTCTGAACTCATTCCTGGTTCTGTTTTCTGCTTTCTTCTCTTAAGGACCCTCTTCATCTTTCTCTGCACAAAGCAAAGTTGACCCTACAGTTTTTCAAGAATCTGATGTGGGATAGTAGACTGTAAATTTATCGTTCATGTAGAAGGTAAGCAAGAACAAGCTTTTTAGGGGGATTCTGTCTGAAAGCAATAGTTACTCAGTCTGGACAGTAATGTTTTCCCTGTTTTCCTTTTTTTTTTTTTTTCTCCCCTAAAGCTTAATATGTTGTGAGAGTCTCTACAACCTTTTTGATGGACTTTCTGTTGCACCATGGCAGTGTTCGATAGAGCATCTCTTTTGCTGTGAATTCCTGTGAATTTCTTCAGCTTACTTTGCCATCCCATCTCAATCATGTTTTGGGCATGATATGCAGTATGGACTATACCTTGGTTTAGGTGCTCTGGTACTCCCCAGAGCTTTACAAATGAAAGGAATCCAACAATTGTCTGAAAAATAATTTTACAATGCATAGTGTATAATTTTTATTTGTTAGGGTTACTGTTGACTACAAGGGGCTTCACAAGCATCATTTAATTTTTACAGAAATCATTCTATGTGGTGGTGAAAAATGAAAAATCCCTTGGCTTTTGTTTGAGGGTACCTCATCTTAAACGTCTTTCAAGGGATTTCTTTGTTCAGCCATTCTAAAATTCACTATTTGTTAGAAGAGTTACTGAAGGTTAAATGTGGCGTGAGCATCTGAAGGTTTTAAAAGCAGAGCATCCTGTAGATTAAATAGAGCAATAAAAATTTGCATGATTACTGAATCAATATTATACCATTTCCTGTATACTGAATTCCTTCATTTATGGTGAAAAATACCTGTCTGTTTACTTCTTATCTTCTGTAAATATCACGCCTATTTTTTTTTTACCCCTCCTCTTTCCTCCTCCCTTTGTATCTCCTCCTCTGTGATAGAATCAATTGCATCAGTGGATGTTATATAAAGAAAAGTTTTCAGTGGAGCTCTTATTTCGCCCACCTTAGCCACCATGGGGCTAAGAGTTGCCAGCCTTTTTATGCTCTGGCTGGCTCTTTCCTATGCAAACGAAATAAGAAAAGGTAAGCTCTAGAAATTAAATGGTAGCAGGTTGCCTCTTGGAAAAGAAGGAGAGAAATAAAATACCACTGCCAGAGGTAATAGGAAGCAGTGCATTTAAACAATGCAGTGGAGTTTTAAAGTGCTTTAAATTTCTCAACCTTTCAAATAGTAAGTCTACGTGATGCAGCCAACATAGGAAGATATGGCTTTCTTTATCTACCGCGCTAATCTGTTTTTTGATGTGCTTGGAAAATATTTTCAGTGTTACTTTTCTTTCCATATGTTGAGACTTTTCCCAGGTATGGCAACTACTTGGCAAGAAGCAACAATAGGAGTTAGAGCAATGAAGAAAGATGTCTTCCGTTACTTGGGAGTGACATAAAAACTTTCTTCAAGAGTGAAAGTAGTAGAATTAGACAAAGCTCATTTTGTCATTCAGGACATTAAAAATCCTTCTGTAAAAGCTTTAATTTACTCTGTTTGTTATCAACTTTGTTGGAAGCATTGAAATAGAGTTCTCATACTGAAAACTTTTTGGAGGACTAGGTGATGAATTTTGTGTGATCAGGTTTGGGGAATTGGTCTTGTGTGCTGCATCTTGATTTCAGCAATGGGAGGAAAGCATTATCTTGCATTTTATACCCTAGCTGTGAGCTCTGGGAGAATCTCTGTGTAGCCTTCCTTGTGGGGAGAGAAGCATACCAGCTTGGCTGGATGTATCTGGTATGACTGATACCATCAAAGTACAGTAACTTAGACTCCCCTTGGTAGTTTCGCTTTCTCAAAATAAGCGCTGCAAGAAAATCTTGTGAAGATGAGTGGCATGTGTGCTTTTGGTACCTTGGCAAGCTTCCCGAGTATGCTCAGCTTTTCTGTTCACCCCTAATGTACAGCATCTTGAGATTTATCAGATACTGCATTACTTTGTATTATTTGTTGGCATAGATGGCTGGGAAGGGAACAAATATCACTATCTTCATCTTTATTGCAAAATATTTTTTTTTGGATTTTGCTCCTACCATGGTTATTTTCTCCCATCTTCTGAAGAACTTCTGTTCTGTAGTAATAGAAATCACTACCTCTGTTAGGAAAAGAAGGAATTTGTTAAAAACGCCTTTTGAACAAGTCATTTCATAACACTTAACCTATTTGCCTTCCAGAGTAGGAGTGATACTTCCTATGTTTCCTAACTGTTTCCCTTCTAGTGCATGTTGCATCAAGGAAGAAAACAGCTCTTAGAAATATTTAATATTGCTAAAAATAACAGAATAAATTCCTATGTTTGGCAAAGCAGCTCCATTGTACTGATGCACCAGCTTGTTAGCGGTCAGAGGGTGAAGGTTCCCTACCTCAAGCAGACAAGTCCCTTCACCTCAGTGGAGTGAAGTGAGGATTGTAAGACATACCCAGGTCTCATCAGTATTTGTTAATGTCTTATTTTCCATTAGAGAGTTACATCTCTTCTGCTTTACAGGCAGGCATGTGATCAGGCTTGAGATCTGGAGAATCACTGTGCACATGACTGCAAGTGATTTCTACTGTAAAATGCAACACTTAGCTTTTCTTGATGCTAGCTTGTCCGTTTCAATTTTTTTCATGCCTGTTTCTTTTTCATCACTTAACAGGAAGGACAAGAAATCATGGCCACTCTGTCTGCAGCACTTGGGGAAACAACAATTTCAAAACTTTTGATGGAGACATCTATCAATTCCCTGGCATTTGCGAGTATAATTTTGCTTCTGACTGCCGAGAGTCTTATAAGGAGTTCTCTGTCCACATTCAGCGTGCTCTGAACAGCAATAACCACCCTGAGATCCAGTACATTCTGCTAACGATCAAGGACTTTACGGTGTACCTCAGACCAAAACTGGCTGTGGTGGATGGGAGGATGTAAGTTCCTTTAGTATAATAGTATTTCAGAGAAATGCATATTTCAGATAAAACCAGGGTTGATTCTTTACACAGCTGTCTGTATACAATTAAGGTAACTGCTACAAGCATTTCCACAGGCAAAAAAAAGCCCTTTGATATCCAGCCTAAAAATTGCTCTGGGGAGGGTCTTTAGTATTCATTGGCATTTCTACACTGGCATAAGGGACGATTTAAATGCAAGTCAGGAAGAGGTTTGAGTGAACTGTTCTTCTTCTGGTTGTGCAGCAAACATTGCAGCTCATGAGCCAGATCTTTCACTGGCATAAAATGACATAGATTCATTTGTTTGATGGCATCACTTTGAGTTTACCTTAGCACATGGTGTAGCAAATCCTCAAGAATGAAGATGCATTTCTCCAGGGTATTTTTCTCTTATTTTATGGCAGAAGACAGGTGTTTTTTTCTGATCTTTGTTAATAAGGTCCAATGGCCATTCCTCAAGGGATTATAACAGAGAGTGCAGGTCAAATTTTACACTAATTTTTATGTGGCAATATGTACTTTTTCACATTGAGTTGTAGTATTTTTCCCCTCCTGTAACATGGTTACATGTTACATGCTGAAACAAGTGAAGGAACTCATAGGTTAAGAAATAGTTCTGGAGATGGAAGAAACTGGCTGTTAGTATGTCTTAGCATAATTTTAAAAAAAATTCCTTTCTATTGTCATTGTAGGACTGAGTTTTGTCCAGGATTCAGCTTTTGCTCTAAACTCTGGAAGCCACTGCAATGAAAATCTATTCAAAGACAGAAAATAACATTCAATTTCCCGAGGATCATACCAGAATGCAGAACAAAATGACATGAAGTTATAAAAAATGCATTCTTGCCCCAGATTAAAAAAGCCCTTTATTGTGTACTCAGGTCTTAAAAAGAACTCTATGAAAATCACGTTTAGAAATCCTTTAAACATTGTTTTTCTTAAACCAAGCCTCTTTTTTTCTTAGGTAGTGTTCATAAAACAATAGATCATTTCTGAACAGGTTTTTGCTGCATAGGGGATTTAGTTTTTTGTAGAACTTAATTTCCCATACTGCTCTTTAAATGACATCTGATCCTTTGTCATGTAAAATAGCAGTTCACATTACTGAAGTGAAAACTGTAAAATAGAAAAATATATGGATTTGCCTTTTGGTACCTGATCCACTGATTGATTGAATGTCCTAGTATTAGAAAAAAAGAGAAATATTACATGCTGTGATAGCTGAAAAATGAAAAGCTGCCCAATGTTTTATAATCCCTCTCCAGAAACGTGATCTCTTAAGGTCTCATTGTCCAGGGGATGAACACTGCAGCCAAAAGTAGAAATAATGTCTTCTGAATTCCTGCCTGGTATTTAGATGTGTAAATCATGTGGCCATGTTAAAAATGCCTGAGGTAAATGGTTCGAAAAGATTCAAGAAACAGGAAATTAGGAGACAAAATTCTCCCAGTCAAGACACTAGTTAAGAGGAGATGTACATAGACATACATGAATCCTGATAGGTAACAATTATATTGGCAAATCTGTAGAAAATGAACTGCTTGTTTTGACTGGATTCCAGTTTGTACTACTTCTGTTTGAACAGACTCTAGTTCTTTAGATTTTATAGGATGAGGCTGCTTGCCACAATCCCTTTAGCGCTGAATGAAATTCAGCAGTGTGACTTGTTAAGTAGTGCACTCTAAGACAGACGTAGAAGAACAGAAGAGAGATCTGGTGAATTGATTCTTTACCAGACAAAAGCATCAGCCTTCTGCAAAATATCTTCTGTCACATCAACACGTCTTGCAGTCACCATTAACAAGCTTGGTCCTGTCAACTGAAAACTAATGAACTAACTACTGAATTCCTCTTAAAATGCTCCTTTCTTTCCAAACTTTTGTTGGCAGTCACTGTATCTGCCTGTGCTTTTTGGACTCTGTCTTGAGGAGGAAGATCCTTACAAGGCAACATTCATTCTCTCTGAAATAGTTGTTAGCTCTTTTGGTAAAGAAAAGCTTCCATTTATGTTGTTACCTCTTTCATTGAAGTAAATTATTAGTAAGTGTTTGAATAGCCTCTGTTAATACCACAATGATGAGAGGTTTTCCTTTGATTAAGTTGAAGACATCTGACATTTTGATTTTTTTCTTAAAGAACTTGTACCCTTGAGGAGGCTTTGCCTTTTAAAGTTGCTTTGCCTTTTAAAGGCAGTGAGTTACCACGTCAAGTGTCAGAGAGAGATGATTTTATGCCTCATTAAAACAAGGCATCCTGTGCAGCTAGGATCAAGTAGACAATGACAGGTTTCTCTATTCTTTAGAGTATTTGGCTTATTACAGACATTTGTGTCACCCCTTACGTTTCTGTACTAATGCAAAGTCTCTGCTTTTCTTCCTAGTGTGAAGACACCTTACTACAGCTCTGGTGTGCTCATTGAGAGCAATGACATTTACACCAAGGTTTATGCCAAATTAGGCCTGGTTCTGATATGGAATCAGGAAGACGCACTGATGGTATGTATGATCGAAGTCTTTTTTGTTGGTGTTTCCGGGGTTGAACAGACTACTGTATACTGAACAGAAGTAGAATCTCACGAACTGAACAGACCTAGAGTGTTAGAGTGACTCATCCAACTGACACTTGTGGTGCTTTATTTAAGAAAAAACACATTCCTTTCTCTGCAATGTGGTGGAAGTAGCAGTATGGCATGCAGATGATCTTACTGATCTCAAGAAAAGGGAGAAGGAGCTTTCTGAGAAATAGCTAATGATTTTGCTATAGCACCCCCACATTCCACTTTGAATTTTCCTTCATTTGACTTTTAAAGGACTGCCATCATTGACTTTCCTATTTATAGCAAGACTTAAATTTTATCCCAGTAGGGGAAAAAAAGGAAAGAAAAAAAAATCCTGTGATTTTAAGAATGCTTTTCTTTTTCACCATGGTGGTTACTGCCATTGTTGAAATACAGGAGCTTCAGTCACTTCTTTCTGTTTTCTGTGTCACTTTCTGCATCTAACTGCGTGTTTATTAACTATGTTACACATTCATTTGCAATAGCTACTTCTCTAAGAATTTTGGGTTCACCATCATTTCTGTCATTTAGCAACTTCCCTTTTGAGTAAACATGATTGCTTTGGAATGTCTTCATGCTCCAGATAATTCTTTTCTATTTTTTCTTTTTCATTCCATTACCTAGGTGGAGCTGGACAGCAAATTTAATAACCATACATGTGGTCTCTGTGGGGATTACAATGGAGTTCCAATCTACAATGAGTTTATCAATGGAAGTGAGTCATCCTATCATACTGACAGTTATCATAGAAGACAGACTGATAAGCATTGTGCACAGGAGAGCAAATCTCACTTGAGAGATTTCTGTGATTACCCCAGAGTAAATATTATGTTCCAGTGATGCATTCCTCGTCTAAGGCTTTTTTATTCCAGATGAATCATCTTGTTCTTTTCTCTACTGGACTTCTCATTACCACTTTATGTTTTTAGGCACTCTTAGACACAGTAGACACAATTCAAAGCAAAGACCTGTGTCTGACAAGCATATTT